AGGAATGTCCTACAAGGTTATCACTCTTGCTACCGTGTTCACACTGTTGATACAAATTGCTGACGCTTCAAATTTTTTGTTGCAGGGCTTTCCTTTCAACCTCATATATATATATATTTATTTATTTATTTATTTATGAACCGTAACTCTAGAACATCTTAACGACCAGGTTCTTGCCATTCTACATAAAAGTGTAGGCAAGGGTTCGCCAAAGCGGGATCATCTTGATGGACCTTGTCAGTGCCGCCTTCAGGAACGCCATTCGGTATGGCAAGACATGAAGGGGTGAAGATCGACAGTTGTCAGAGTCACCACCTTCCAGGAGACATCTTACTTGCAACATGACCAACTAGCTACCCTTACTTGGATCGGGAAGCCAACATGATGTTCTACAACCTAGCTAATTACATAGCAGAGCAGAAGGGAACTCGCAGCTATGGCAGCATATTACTAGATTGCTGATGAAGTAGCGAAGACGAGATTAATTGGGTCTTCATTTATTTTACCGACTGTTCTCGATTCTGTGGTATTGTCTTAATTAATTAAAGCCTCGAAACTCTGCTTATGCGAGATGATCATGTAGTCAGCCTTCAACATGCTCTGAAAACAACGTTCGTAATTTCCCGATACGTACACGTGCAGTGAGGGATACGAAGTTCCAAGCCGCACCAACGAATAAAGGTTAGTGGTGCTGAATGCCTCAAGCCTATGAATTCCAAATTGAGTGGGCCCACATGTCATGCGTTTTGTAATGATCGTTGTGTTACGCTAGATGAGTGGATTTCTTAAACTCCAAACGAACACTGATTTGATTGCCACGTCGATAGTCACATTTTTTTCACAAAAGCTCTGAAGGGAAAAAACGCAAGCCCACAGACCTCCACGCTCACCGGACCACCACGCCCTACTTGCGCCCCGGACAGGAGAGCGGACCCACCCTCCGAGAACCAAGGGGTGTTGGCTGGAGAAGACTTCCGCCTTGCCTAGCGACCCCAGCCGTGGATTTCGCGACGGGATCCCTGCCCCCGACACAAGGACCAGCTGTGTGAACGCGGCGACACAACCTACTCTTCCCGTCGCAACCAGGGTGCACTACCTTACTTACTTTCTCAAGGCCAGTACAAAAGTAAGGGACACTGGTTTATTGTACTACTACGTAATACACTACAACTACAGCTACAAAATGATGATGAGGGAACTACACTACAAAGACATGTGTGCCAGAGCCGGAGAATATCACAGAGAAAGGAGTGTAGTTATCATGAATGAAACACGCAATTAAATATACCAAAGGGCGCAATATATACAAAGAGCAAAAGGCATATATACAACGAGTAATTGCACGACACTCACTTGACCCTCGATCTTCAAGCGCCATCCGAGACAAGCTCCTTCAGCTGCCCAATCCAGGACCCATTGGCCTCGATGGTCTTCTTGCCTTCCTTCCTCCTCAGTATCCAACAGGTGACAACTTGCGCCCTCGGTGAGGGGCAATGCGGATACTGGTTGGGCTTACAGTGGCGCTCCGTTGCCTCGCAGACAACATCACAGCGTTAACCGGCTATACCGACCAGCAGCCGACAGTCGGCCGGCCGCGGTGCATGACGAGTGCCGACTGGTTAGGCTAAGTGAAGGAACGCGGACAACGCGCGCATACGCGCCGCGTTGTGGCGGCCGAGCAAAGATGGGCCGAGGCGCGCGTGGTGCGCCCATCGGCCACCGTCGCATCTGCGACAAGTAAACTTACGGCTCAAGGTGTCGACCAACACCTTCATTTATGCCGATGCCAGCTTCTTCTATCAACTCAGACCTTAGAAGTTCTCGCCTACAATTCGGAATGTAATTTGACTGCCGGATACTGAGGAAGTGGTTTTATCAGAACGTCAGCCAATGAAACTGATTTTTTTCGATATCAGAAAAGCAATTAACACATACGTCTAAGAAACTTAAATATATGCTCGTGTCTGTAAGGTGTCATAGTATGTCAGTCCTGCTTTTTCTTTCGTTGCGAATACTCACTCGGAAATTTCTTTCCTTTCTTGTTCAAACATTTCATTTCGCCACTTGTCTAAAGAAACGAGAACAGCCACTCTCGCTATCAAGATTCCCAACAAAGTCGGCACACTTTTATATTTTCCATAGTAGACTAATACTACACATGGCGGTCACAATAGGTCTGAAATTGGTCATCCGTAATCAGTCCCTATAAAGAGTACATTCACGATGATCCTGATGCATCTGCTTTAAGAAGTAATGGAAATCATGGTGAAGAACAGTGCAAGAGTGTTGAAGAGAACGCGAAAAGCGACGGATTTTGAAGCATAAGACTTTAAGAAAGTAGCAAAAAAGGGTTTGTACAATACTGTCTGTAGTCGTCTAGGTGTCTCAAACATAAGCATACTGGATGTCGCGTCCCAACGCTCCAATGTGAATGATGCAGCCTCGACAAGACCGCCTAAAACGACCACATTGGATGTGTGCACCGACCAAACCGGTTTTGGAGCTTTTATTACACCCTGTCAAGGTCGTTATTTGGCCCAGCAATTAATCCGTACCATTCTTGGAGGCCACGTGATCATCCTATGGAAACTTTGGGAATCACTGTTATCGAGCACTATGACATTGAGGTACCCCTAAAACAGTGTGGAGTACATACAATGCCACTCGATGTGGGACAAAGATATGTATAGTTGAATGTTATCGCACCTTATACAAGCAATGTGCTATCAATCGAATTCGAACGATTGGATAGCATCAGTCTAGGCAAAGTGTGAATTGGTCGTATATAATAGGATTATTATGCCGCGTTGCGCGTATCTGCAGCGCACCGCGCTTGGCAGATTTGCGCGGGAAAATGCAGTGTCAAATGCAATTGAAAATCGTTACTGGCCAAAGGTTTTTGTCCTACTTGCGGATGCCTGAAATGCAAGTCGAAATAATATCTTTTATGGAAGAATGAAAGTTGAAGTGATAAAAAAATAGCCTAGTTCATTTCGGTGGAGTTGGAGTGAATTTCAAATATAGATGATTAAGTAGGACAGCTGTCTCTTAACTCCATGTTGAAGCCGAGTCTCTGATGCAAGAGACTCAAATTACCGACGCCGTCTCTGCCTTTGAGTGAAGTTTGGAAAAAGGTGACTACATCGGTACTTGGCCGGTTTGTTTATGCTTGTCAAAGGCATTTCAGTTGTCAAACTCCTACAAATGATAATATTCCTTCCTTAGTTACTTTCTCTTTCAGATGTACCAACTTTTCAGGTATCTTTATTTCCTTGCTCCTGCTACTTTTTTTCAACTTTTTCAAAAATTTTCTCCCTTCATGAATATATGTGAAAAACATATTACCCTTCTACTCATGCACGTGGTCAGGTACCAACTACAGGGTCTATTCGCACTATAGTACGAAACGACTAATGACGTCATTCATCAGAAGTAAATCGCAAGGTCAGGTGGATTGGACGAGTAGCCCAGCGCATGTATTACGTCGCATTGTACGTTATAGATTCCGTGAATACATTTAGTCGTACGTATACTGTCGACTTAGCGATAAGGGGGACAGTGCAAACCAAAGCAAACCTCTCCTAAGGCGTTCACATGCCAGTGGTATACAGTTGAGAAGGAACTCGTCAAATGACATAGGTTCTCATCGCTTTCTTGGCGAGCGACGATATGCTCCATTCCGTGCCACGATTGCCCGCTCGCGGAAAAGTTTTTCAATAACCTAAGCGGTGGTCTCAATCAACCAAACGGTGAGCGCGATTCTTATTCGCGATCGGAGTTTTGTATTAGCTGTTGAGAGTGCTTTGGTGGCCACTTCGTGTGCTGTCGGATTACCATTATGTTACGTGTTCCGTATACTTTGGTATTGCAGTTTGTTCTATTTTCACTTCGATTTCTGCGACAGAAAGAGTTGGCCTAAATGGGTGAACGAGAAGTTTAGAATATTCATGACCTTTGAAGTTACGGTACAAATATACATAGAGGTAGGTAGGAGGCACGGAGGGTTTCGATTCTATCGTTGTTTGCAGCGCAATTCGCCGCACAAATAAGTTCCGATTCGCCGCGCAAGGAGTTTTCAAAGAGCAAGGGCACATCTTAGTGCTAAGTCCTGGTGTTCTAAAAGGAATCTGGGCTTTCTGTTGAAAGCCCACGAGGGTCGTGTCGCTGCATGCTCACTACAACGGGTGCAAAGCTCAAGTGGTACAAGCAGATCTGTTAAAATCTCGTTATTTCGAGTTCCAAGTGGCAAGTGAGCTAATATAGAATTTATTGGCTCACCTGCCACTTGGAACTCAAAATAACGAGATTGCATAAGATCTGCTTGTAGAAAAAGAGAAGTATATCCAGGCTTGTCGAGTTTCTTATCGTGCAGGATCTCTGCACTACCCATGTTTTATTCGAATGCCCGCTCGTGAGAAAGTAACGAATTAGCAGAATCCTTACACGATTTAAACAGAACCATATTGAGTTTGCAGTGGGCTGAACCTATCCCATCAACGGTAGAACGAAATGTTCCGTGGGAGCACTCTGCTACGTCTCTAACACTGAATGTCAGAGCGCGAAGGTTTATGGGACACCATCCTCGCAGCGCTGTAACAGTGCATAGGGACGGTTTTTATTTGGGGGAATTTATTTTTTTTTGCCTGAGCCCACAGAAGAGAGGAGCAATATGGTGGGTTGGATTGTGTTCTTGCCCGAAATAGATTGTAGTAGGTCCTAGGATAGTCTCAAACCCAGCGGACACGCGCACTCCAAAGTCTACATGCTGGCATCTAGTTATTGTGACACAATTTCTTGACTACATTCAATCCGATTCTATTATAATTCAACCCAACTTTCTGCGCACGATTAACGTTTTTCCTACCTCGTCTCCCTTTTCCTTAAGCTGCTACAAAAAACACATATCCTCGCTGAAAACTGCTCCTGAGCACTGCTCCGGGCATGCGCGTGTCAGAACGGAGACCGGAGTGAAGTAGCCCTTCTAAAAATATTTCCATAGAATGAAACTAATTCTTTCATCTATTGTTATTAAAGCTATGTCCATGTTGCAGTCTGTGTGTTCGCCAAACCTAACAAAGAGCTTCTTTTCAAAAGTGGCGAGATCGTCTGATGAAAAATTTGTTAAATCTGAGGTCAAAGTTTTCCCTCTCGTCCTTTTACACTCCATTCCAGGCATCCATCTTCCGATCATCTTCGACTACGAACAAACTTCGGCAGAAGTGGTTTTTGAAAAAGACCGGATCCGCATCTCAGCTGATTATTGCTACGGTGACATGTGTCACACGGCAACCGTGTTGGAAAGCAAAGACAACGTTATTGACTACTACGACGTTGTTCAAGGTTGATATGTCGCTTGCTTTCTCAGCCTTGCAACTAGCTCAAGGATTTGTATGTTGACGTGGTGCAAGTCACAGACTTCCCTACTCACGTTATCGCCATTGCTCCGAGTAGTCCTAAGACTTATACAACTTTCTAAACGAAGGAACAGCTCTGCCTCTCCTTCCCATAATTCAGTCCGCCCTTGAGGTAATCTGGGGGTAGCGTTGCTACCAAAATGGCTATCATATCCCCCACTTATAGCGAATTTTTGACGGTTGATGTATTTATGTATATACTTCTCTATATGCTTATATGCTCATATCGCTGTCTGTATATCAGTCTGTTCATTTTCTTCATTTTTACTTATTTTTCGATACTATCAATTTTCCCCTTTCTCTTACACTACACCATCACAGGAAGTTATTGAGATTAAAGTTCCATGCTGATTATGAAGCAGTACTGTTTGATTACTATTAATGAATGTTAATAACTGCAGAATAGATCATAAGTAGCAACTCAGGACAAGTAACAGTGCAATGATTTTCAAAGTTCCATGCATCATATATAATATTGACAAATTGAATTATTTATAGCTCATAGCTTATACCACCTACTTCTTGACGATCCTAACTCATATGGAATTTCGTATACTCCAGTCAATGAGTAAGAAAATTGTCCGCCCCCTCACCCGTTACTCAGTCTTCAATAACTCGATCGCACATTCACTATATTGCTGGTTGTCCTCCCTCGCTTTCTTTTTGTATCATCGTCACTACCTCACCGCATGCTGTAATCTCCAAAACATCGAGGGGTTTAATGGAATGACATGATTGACTACTACTCCAATTTCCTTATTCGCCGACTTACTCAGTAGTTGACCAGGTATTCTACCTTGAATAGAGCGATCTCCTACTTATGGAGTCGATCGGCTTGCACGATAGTTGACCGGATTTTCTACTTTGATCTGAGCGATCTCCCACTCTAAAGGTGGATCTTCAAATTTCTGTGTGTAATTACTAGATAACATGCTCGTTGCACTTCAAGTGCAACAAGCATGTTAATTATAATTACACACAGATCCAATCCAGTGCATTTCGCTTACTATGTGCAAAAGAGAACTACCTTCCGAATTGACAAAAATTTAGATAACTGATGCTGGTTAGTAAATCTTTTGCCAAGCAGTGCTCCGGGGACCACTCTTTGTTGAAATTCAGGAACTATGCGATTCGATCAAATAAGAGTAAAGGGTGTGCCCTTTGACTGCGTCAAGCTCGACGAAGTACCTGAACGTTACCTTTATACTAGACCGTCTATCGTGAATGCTTCTATTATCTGCTCCATACCAAAAAGTGTTCAGAAGTGAATCCTGCCCCGAGTTACTAATCCCCTTCATATAGTGCGTTACATAATTATAAGGTCACCCCCAAATTTTGCACTTTCAAAAAAAGCAATCATTAAAGAATTTTTCTAGCATCACAGCATCTTGGACGGATTCTACAGCACGAATAGCCTAGGTATCCGTTTTTTGGTAGCAGCTGCATTTTTCTAAACTTTTTTAGAACAGTTTATCGGTTTTTGCACCGTTTCATAGTTATAAGGCCCCCTGAGAAAGTGAACAATTGTTCATGGAGGAGAAGAAATTTCGTGTTTGAAGATACTTATTAAGGTAAGCATGTGTACCAAATGCATTTCTAAACCTGACTATCAACATGGCTCGTGGTCGTCTGCTTTCCTCTGATGAGAAGGCTCATCATAAAGGTGGGCTCAGTACTCGAGCCATCGCCAGGCAAATAGGGAGATCTCCTTGGTCCATTCAAAGATTTCTGGAGAGCCCTGATGTCCCTAGATATGACAGCGGCTGTGGACACCCATGAAAGATTACTGCCCGTGTCGAGCGGAAGATTCTAAAGACTGTTTCCAACAGTACATCCTCCTTGAACCAGATCCGATCGGAATTAAACCTCTCTGAGCCGAGAACTACACTCCGGAGAGCAGTGCGAAGATGCGAGAACATTACCAGGCAAGCAATGGAGAAGTTGCCACGAATCACCGATCGCCACAGAGAGGCTCGACTCGGATTGGCAAAGATGAACCTAAGGAGAGATTGGGCAAAGGTAGATCTCCATCAAAAACTCACCATAGAGCTGAAACTAAAACTAAACAAAACTCTTTTCGGATGATAAGAAATTCAATCTGACGGAAACAAGCGTTACTGATGCGACTTGAGAAAGGAACCAGTCTACTTCAGCTGACGCAATTTCGGTGGAGGTGGTCTATGGTGTGGGGTGCATTCTGTAATAAGGTCGTGTTGGTTCTACCTGTCGTGAGCTGCAGTATGGATTTCAAGGATTACTAGAACGTGTTGGAGCATCATCCAGTACCCTTTTTATGCCATCACCGTCACCACAACTATGTCTTTCAACAAGACAACGCCTCCATTTATGTGAGCCGTGCAACGGATGAGTGGCTGCAATGCCAATAAATAGGCGTCCTGCCATGGCCAGCCTGCAGTCCCGATCTCAATCCGATGGAACATATCTGGGGCATAATTATCAGGCAGGTTTATACGTATAATCGTCAGTTCCAGGGCACAGTAGAGCTGAAGCGGGCAGTTATCGAAGCATGGAGAGCAGTGGATGAGGAACATCTTCGAAACCTAGTTTCTAGTATGCTACACAGGGTCTTTGATGTTGCTCTTAAACAAGGAGGAGCTACAGATTATTGAATGTTGTACATATGCCATCAACATTAATGAATCATTTACTTTCTCAGGGTGACCTTATAATTATGAAACGGTGCAAAAGTCGACACTATCTTTGAAAAATTCGCAAAAAAGTTGAGGTGAAGGATATTGCGACCAAAATTTGAATACGGAGGTACATTGTGATGAGGAATCTTCCAGTGTTTGCCAAAAATTCCATTCTGGCTGCTTACTCCAGAATCGCAAAAATCGAGGGTGACCTTATAATTATGAAACGCGCTGCACCAATAAAACTTGAGGTTCCACTCAAAGACTGAATGCTCATAGTTGGTTCGGTTAAACGGTGTATTTAGGCGAGTTGTTGTCGAATTTGTCTTGTGTGGAGGAAAGCTGGAGAGAGTGTTACTAGAGGTGCCAAATATTTGACCGATCAGTAATCTGTCTCCTCGTTTATCCTCCGCTCTGAAGTTGCAAACACAATTACCCCTCCCCCCTCCACTCCCACTCCTTGAAGACCTTATTCACCTATAAACCTATAAAACCTATACCTATAGACCTATAGAATGAAGTTTGCTTCATACTTTCCTTTGATTTTCCTTCGGCAATTAGAGCTGAAATAAATTCAAAAAAGGGAAGGTTTAAAAAGACCATGGAACGCGTGAATAGTTTTGTTGAAATAGATCCACACAAGGATGACAATACCTTATCGGCTAAACCGCCTCAGGAACCTGAAAGGATAGAATCATGTTCATGACGTTGATCTGATCAAATATCTCAACACCTTACAATACTTTTCAGATCAACCTAGTTATCACTCAATCCCTAGGTAAATGAAAACTTACTAATTGACAGAATCGGTCATGATGAACGACCTAAAATCGGCTCTTTGAGTTTAAAGTTACGGTCGAAGGCTGACCTTCTATAGGGGTGAGCTAACGTGTAAATGACACGCACTCCACCTTTCCACCCATCACTATTCATTGAAAGCTTTGCGCACCCTCACCAAAAAACGGTCCTCCCAACCGAAGGGTTCTAAAGCGATCGTGACGAAACACGCGTGCTGCGTGCGTGAAGAGCCCTGTTGGAGTCACGCGTGAATCGCACGCAACTCAAGATGACTATACTGTTGCTGATGTGGTCTACAGGTCACTTGCCAGAACTGTGGAGATGAATATGAAGGCGAGACATGCGAATTGAAGAGTATCTGAAGAAGGCTAGGTCAGGCCGTCAACCGCCTTAGGTTGCCACAGGGCACAATCTTATAATTACGACAACTCCATCCACAACATCAGAACGCGGTCGAGTTCTTGGCGCATAAAATACAAACAGCCACGAAGAAAATCCTAAGAGCATCCCGGCTACAAATCATGGAACTAAAAATGAACCGGAGGGGGAATGCGAAGTGTCATTTACACGTGAGCCCACATTACATAAGGTTAGCCTTTGACGATAACATTTGAACTCGAGACAGCCGATCCTACGTCGCTCACGAAGCCCGATTTTATCAATCAGGAGGGTACGAAACTTTTACCCACCTGGGATTGGGTGATGATAAAGTTGATAACGGAACTACTATAAGTTGTTAAGATCTGTGATCTTTGAAATTTTAATGCCAACTTTTCAGGCTTCAAGGTAGGCGGTTCCGATGAAATATAAGAGGTGAATTCATTGTGATCTTCGTGTGGAGTTCTACCAATGGAGTTATTTCGACAATAATGCTGAAGGTGAAGGAGAGGCGCTCGCGAGGACTGTCCCCTCTTAGTAAGGTACCTTGCACCCTATTTTTTTCATGTTCCTATGTACTTCGTTTTTAAAAATAAATCATACATACATACATACATACATACATACATACATACATACA